GTCAAATAGAAACTTCTAGAGCTAGGAAATATAAGAACAGAAATGAAGAACTCTTGGTATATAGGTTTAACAGCAGATGAGACAGAGCTGCAGAGAGAATAAGGGAAATAGAAGATAGTTCATAAAACAACCCAGAAAAGCATTAAAGACAGACAAAAAGACGAAAAATACATCACAAAGAGTAAGAAATATAGACGATAAAGCCAGAAAGATGAACACAGCTTTAACAGGAATGCTAGGAGAAAAGCAAGAGAATGGAACAGAGGCTCTCTGAATAGAAAAGTGAGATTTTTGTCCAGAATTAATGAAAGACACCAATCAGTAATTTTAAGAAGTTAAAGGAGTTGCCTCTCTGTTTTGTTGACTGTTTCCTTTGCTGTGCAGAAGCTTTTGATCTTGATGAAGTCCCAAAACCTCATTTTCTCTTTTGTTTCCTTTGCCTTTGGAGACATATCTTGAAAAGTTGCTGTGGCTGATATCGAAGAGGTTACTGCCTATGTTCTCCTCTAGGATTCTGATGGATTCCTGTCTCATGTTGAGGTCTTTTATCCATTTCGAGTTTATCTTTGTGTACAGTGTAAGAGAATGGTCGAGTTTCATTCTTCTATATATAGCTGTCCAGTTTTCCCAGCACCATTTATTGAAGAGACTTTTATCCACTGTATATTTTTTCCTGTTTTGTCGAAGATTATTTGACCATAGAGTTGAGGGTCCATATCTGGGCTCTCTACTCTGTTCCACTGGTCTATGTGTCTGTTTTTATGCAGTACCATACTGTCTTGGTGATAACAGCTTTGTAGTAAAGCTTGAAATCAGGTAACATGATGCCCCCGGTTTTGTTTTTGTTTTTCAACATTTCCTTAGCGATTCGGGGTCTCTTCTGATTCCATACAAATTTTAGGATTATGTGCTCCTGCTCTTTGAAAAATAACGGTGGAAATTTGATCGGAATGGCATTAAAAGTATAGATTGCTCTAGGCAGTACAGACATTTTAACAACGTTTATTCTTCCGATCCAAGAGCATGGAATGGTCTTCCATCTTTTTGTGTCTTCTTCAATTTCTTTCATGAGTGTTCTGTAGTTCCTCGAGTACAGATCCTTTACCTCTTTGGTTAGGTTTATTCCCAGGTATCTTATGGTTCTTGGAGCTATAGTAAATGGAATCGATTCTCTAATTTCCCTTTCTGTATTTTGGGAGAAGATATTTGCAAATGGCAGTACAGACAAAAGGTTAATATCCAAGATCTATAAAGAACTCATCAAACTCAACACACACAAAACAGACAATCATATAAAAAAAAATGGGCAGAAGATATGAACAGACACTTCTCCAATGAAGACATACAAATGGCTATCAGACACATGAAAAAATGTTCATCATCACTAGCCATCAGGGAGATTCAAATTAAAACCACATTGAGATACCACCTTACACCAGTTAGAATGGCCAAAATTAGCAAGACAGGAAAAAACGTGTGTTGGAGAGGATGTGGAGAAAGGGGAACCCTCTTACACTGTTGATGGGGATGCAAGTTGGTGTGGCCACTTTGGAGAACAGTGTGGAGATTCCTCAAGAAATTAAAAATAGAACTTCCCTATGACCCTGCATTGCACTACTGGTTATTTACCCCAAAGATACAGATGTAGTGAAAAGAAGGGCCATCTGTACCCCAATGTTTATAGCAGCAATGGCCACGGTCGTCAAACTGTGGAAAAAAACCAAGATGCCCTTCAGTGAAAGAATGGATAAGGAAGATGTGGTCCATATACACTATGGAGTATTATGCCTCCATCAGAAAGGATGAATACCCAACTTTTGTAGCAACATGGACGGGACTGGAAGAGTTATGCTGAGTGAAATAAGTCAAGCAGAGAGAGTCAATTATCATATGGTTTCACTTATTTGTGGAGCATAACAAATAATATGGAGGACAAGGGGAGATGGAGAGGAGAAGGGAGTTGAGGGAAATTGGAAGGGGAGGTGAACCATGAGAGACTATGGACTCTGAAAAACAATCTGAGGGTTTTGAAGGGGCAGGGGGTAGGAGGTTGGGGGAAGCAGGTGGTGGGTATTAGGGAGGGCACAGATTGCATGGAGCACTGGGTGTGGTGCAAAAAACAATGAATACTTTTACGCTGAAAAGAAATAAAAAATTAAAAAAAAAAAAAAGAAGTTAAAGGAGTTGTGAAAGCAGCATAAATGAAATTAAATTCCATACCTATATCATAATGAAACTTCAGAAAACCAAAGACAAAGAGAAAATAAAGTTCCTTCCCAGAAGGAACACACTGACAAATGATTTTCAACAGTTAGTAAAAGAAGCCAGAAGACAGTGAAATTATATCTTTAATATTCAAAAAGAAAAAAAATTGAAACTGCCAAAATCCTATATCTTGTAAAAGATGCCTTTCGAGAATGAAGCAAAATAGAGTCATCTTCAGACAAACACAAGAACAAAAAAGTATGATACCAGTGGAACACACTAAAAGAAATTCTAAGGCTTATACTTCGAACATAAGGAAAGTGATATCACATTTGAGATATAAGGTGCAAGTGATACACAGAAACTTATGGATAAATCTAAATACATATAAAATGTATAAGACATTTTGTGAAATTTAAAAATTAAATAGAATTATATAACAATAGTACACAGGTCAGAGAAATGGAATTTAAGTGTTTGAAAGTCCCTGCATTGTCTAAGAAAAGAGTAAAACTATCTTTTAATTTCAGGCTTTAATAAGTATGATTAATGACATTTCTAGCAGTAATTTCTTAAAGATGAGAAAAAGAATTATAACTTTACTTTGAACAAGGAAAAAGTGAAAATAATAAAATTATCAATCCTTAAAAAGGCAACAAAGAACAGAAAAACACATGCAAGATCAATAGCAAACACAGGATATGATGGTATATTTAAGCCCAAATATTTAATATCATATAATATACCTTATAAACTTTTTGGTATCAAGTGTAAAATGACTAAATGTTCCATTAAAAACACAAAGATTGTCAAACTGGATAAAAACTAAAATCCAGTATATAACCCTCTTTGAAGAGGCATGTCTACAATATAAAAATAAGTACAGTTTAAGGTAAAAGAGAGGTAAAAGAGTGGAAGAAAACTGTGTATCAGCAGCTCGTGGGTGGCTCAGTTGGTTAAGTGTCCAATTCTTGATTTCAGCTCAGGTCTTGACCTCAGAGTTGTGAGTTCAAGCCTGATGTTGGGCTCCAGTGTGGAGCCCATGTTAAAAAAACATTGTGTGTATCAAATAGCAAAGGCTCAAATAATATAAAGCAAAAATAGTTGTAACTGTGAGAACTAGAAAACTCTACAATCACAGCGGATTTTATCACATCTCTCATAGTAATATATAGAGTATATAGACTATAATAATTATTTCTAACAAATAATTGGAATATATAGAACAGACCACTGAATAAAAACACTGACAAAACTACTGCAAGAATGATAATAAAAAGACAAAAGAATGTACAAAAAGCCAATATCAAATAGAAAGGAGGGACACCACTATAGATGCTGAGGAAATTCAATAAAGCTATCATTAAGAAGTTAATACTTATGAAACTCAATTTTTTTTATGTTTTATTTTATTATTTTTTTTTGAGAGTGAGAGAGAGAGAGAGAGAGAGAGAGAGCAAGCACATGAGACAGATAGCATGCACATGTCCAAGTGTTTGGGGGAAGGGAGAGAGAGAGGCTTTTAAGTAGGCTCCACGCTCAGCAAGGAGGCCAACACAGGGCTCCATCTCACAACGCTGAGATCATGACCTGAGCCAAAATCAAGAGTTGGATGCTTAACTGACTGAGACACCCATGTTCCCTAATGAATCTCAAATTTTACCCAAAGAACCTTATAGCTATTAAAAATAATTGAATAAAAGATAAATAATAGCGATACAACCATACAATGAAATACTATAAGCAATATAGTATATATACTGCATATACTGAATGAACAAAAACCAAGTTGCTAAGGAGACATAATGTGATTTTATCCATATAAAGTTCAAACCAGAAAAAATTATTTAGAGAAGCACACATAGGTAGTAAAACCAAAAATAAATGCATGAAAGTGAATACCATAAAAACTGGGACCCATTTATACCTAGAATAATTGAGAAGTAATGTTGACAATGTTCTTTCTTGACATGAAGGTAGTTATGCATATATTCATCTCAAAATTATTTGTTACATTGTACATTTATATTTTAAGAACTTTTCTGTACTTTTAATGTAATTTTTAGAGCAAAACTTTAAAAATATTTTTGTAAAATCATCTATTTCATCAGTGTGGAGCCACCCAATTTTACAACCATAAGTACAAAGTAAGGTTATACAAAATTTTATATATTCTACTTCAGAAAATGGACAAGAATAAATGACCCAAATTGTATTTCTAAACTACTCTGCCATCACCACTCTGTATTTTTTCTCATAAGTAAAATAATCTGGGAAAATGGAGAATGCTCATGTTAAATTTTACAAACCTTTCTAATTACTTAGCTCCCTTCTTCAACTTGTTATATTATTTTTTTGAATAAGCTACAACTACCAGTATTATCCAGAAAGAAAAGTGTTCAGATTATTTCAGCCCTACCTTCTCTTACATCCTCTGTTTCTACCAACAGGAGGTTTGGCTTCCTCAATTTCAACTTTAAAAATAAGACAGGTCTTTGACTGCCAACTAGAAGGGTGGTAAAGTAATCAATTTCAAGTCAAAGTCAAAGATTCAGAATACACAAAACCTTTCTGTCCTCACAAAGTTAGCCTCACAAACAAATCTCTGGCAAATGGCATGGAAAAAGGAAAATTTTTTTTTCTCGTTTTGGGAAAAGGGATAGAAAGAACGCATGCCTATGTTATTTAAGCCAACATCCGCTTCAGAGGAGCATATTTAAATTAGAAATTATTACTGTCTCCACATTATCTATTATCATAACATATGTAATAAGTAAAATATAGACTGTACTCACCATTTCCATTAATAGACAGATTATGGGTCTTGAAGCTATCCTCAGCACTTTCCAAGGTCAAAGTTGTATGAGCTAGCAAATTATACTTTGCAGCACTAGTAATAGGGAGAAATAAGACATACTTTGAGTATTTTAGTATATTTTCTATTACACAAAATATTTAGATGTTCAATAACAGAAAATAAACAACCTGATTAAAAAACAGGCTAAGGTCTTAAATAGACATTTCTCCAAAGAAGATATAAAGATGGCCAATAAAAACATGAAAAATGCTCAAGAACACAAATCATTAGGAAAATGCAAATCAAAACCACGAGTAGAGCTCCTGGGTGGCTCAGTCAGTTGAACACCTGACTCCCAGCCTCAGCTCAGGTCATTATCAGGATTGTTAGATTGCGCACCACATCCAGCTCTGAGTTCAGCATAAAGTCTGCTTGAGATTCTCTCTCTGGCTCTCCCTCTGCCTCTCTCCACTTCATGTGCGCACGTGTGCTCTTTCTCTCTCTCTCAAATAAATAAATATTTTAACAAAAAAAAATACAATGATACCACTTCACATCCATTAGGATGGCTTTTATTAATTAAAAAAAAAACAACAGAAAATAAGTGTTGGCTAGACTGGGGACAAATTTGTAACATTGTGCATTGCTAATGAGAAAGTAAAATGTTGCAGCCACTATGGAAAAAGTACAGTGGTTCCTCAAAAAATTAGAAATAGAATTACCATATGATTCAGCAATTCCACTTCTGGATATATACCCAAAAGAATTTAAAGTAGTGACTCAAATGGATATGTGTACACCTGTATAAATAGCAGCATTACTCACAACTCACAAGAGCCAAACAGCAGAAGAAGGTCAACTGTCCATTCAAAGGATGAAAGGATAAATAAAATGTAGTACATACATATAATAGAGTATTCTTCAGCCTTAAAAGGGAAGGAAATTCTGACACAGGCTACAACATGAATTAACCTTCAAGACCTTACACTAAGTGAAATAAACCAATGACGAAAGGACAAATACTGCTTGATTCCATGTGTAAAGTCCGTGGGTAGTCTAATTCGTAGAAACAAAAAGTCGAGTTGAAGTTTGCCAGTGGCTGCGTGGCAGGGGAGCAGGATGTTATTGTTTATTGGGCATAGAATTTCATAGAATTTCAGTTTGTAAAGATAAAAAGTTCTGGGGATGGGTGATGAGGATAGTTGCAAAATACTGTGAATGTACTAAATGTCACTGAACTATACACTTAAAAATGGTTAAAATCGTAAATTTTATATATTTAACCATAATAAAAAAATGAAGAAAAACCACATTTAGATGTTGTAGATGACAGATTATAAATATAAATGAATTATCAACCTAGTATGTTTATTTCTTTATGCTATTTTATCTTAAAATCTGCAAGTTATTTGCTTTAACTCATACATGTTTCTCTGAATGATCTCCATTCATTCAAAAATATTAACAGAACACCTAAAATAAGCCAAGTTCTATGCAAGGTGATGGGCATTTTGGTAAACAAGACTCAGTATTATATTCTGATGTAAGGGGGAGGGAGGAGAGGTAAGCAGAGGGATAAATTAAATATTGGTATTTGTAAGTTATAATGCAACCTTTTCTATGAAGCAAAGGGGATAAGAAAACTGAGGACCTGTTAAGCAGGAGAAACAGGGAAGGACTCTCTAAGGGGTAATGGTGACGCTCTCATAAGAATATGGAATCAAGCAAAGAAATTGGGAAAACATTCCAAACAGAGAAGGCTGAAAGTAGAGCAGTGTGGCTGAAGCATAGGGAGCAAGTGGGAAACACCACCTTACGACACAAGGTCAGAGATAAAGGCAGGAATTAGATCCTCAAACTTGGCTGGAAACCTTGGAGGAAGAGTGGATTTGATTCCAAGCATAATGAAGTCATTGGAGAAAGTTAATAAGAAGATAGTGATGGGATCTGATTCACAATTACTTCCTGGGAGTAAGAATGAATCTTCTTCTGGTTTACCAACTTCAAAGATTTGTTGGAGTTTTCACATTCATCATATGGAAAAATGGAGGACTTCATTACTAATTCCACTTTTTTCATGATAGTCCCCTTTATGCTACTTGTGTTAAAATAGCACTCTTGTCAAAGTATCTAAAAATTCTGAGGTTAAATTTCATATCCTGGTACTCTGTGGTGATTAAAAAGTGAATTTTCATTCAATAATAATTCTATTTTCTGGGGCGCCTGGGTGGCTCAGTGGGTTAAAGCCTCTGCCTTCAGCTCAAGTCATGATCCCAAGGTCCTGGGATCGAGCCCTGCGTCAGGCTCTCTGCTCAGCGGTGAGCCTGCTTCCTCCTCTGTCTCTGCCTGCATCTCTGCCTACTTGTGATCTCTGTCTGTCAAATAAATAAATAAAATCTTTAAAAAATAGTAATAATAATAATTCTATTTTCCGGGCTAGTAATCTTGATTTTATTTCAAGAATTTTTCTTGGTTTTATTTATTTTCCAAATTAGTAAAACCTCAACATTCAAAACATCAGAAAGCATGTTAAAATGTGACAGGAATATAGACAGAGAAGACAGACAAGGAAAAGTTTGGTGGGAATTTTTATTAATTGTGCCAAGTGATATGTTTCATAAACCTCCTTTGTCTCATACTAAATCTTTACTAGAATCTCTACTATAAAGAAAAGTATGTATACATGTAGTAACTGTGTAATGCATACTCCACAGAATGTTATTCCCTTGGAGAACACCTGCTGGTGTTCTCCAAGGGAGTATTGAGAAATAATGGAAATACTTTACTGTATAAGTACAGCATGAGGCTCTGATTTATCTTGCCTTTTAATATATAACTACCATAGACTAGAGATATTTCTCAATACCCAGGGACTTTTATCAGTGTTTATATAGGGAAATTTATGTTTCTGTATCCAAAACTCAATAAAATATTTTTAACAAAGTGATGTATGACTAAATTTCAAGCTATATCCTGAATACAACTGGTATAATGTCAGATTTCTATGCAGACTTCTAGAAAGTTTACTAAGCACCAGCCAATCTCCACTGTTGCAAGAGCTAATAGGCACCAACCTCGTACTCAATGTGGGCCAGTCTCTGCTATTACTCACTTAGCCTGGGTTTCTATAGTTAACTCTTCCATAGTTAGCTCTTATTTTTCCCTAGTGTTACACAATGAGTCCCTCCCCCCCAAAAAAAGTTGAGAAAGTATTAATGAAAACTGTGGAGAAAAAAGTCAAAGCAACTGAGAACAGCAATTACAATGGAAGAGCAAATATGATTACATACAAAGCACCTACTAATAACCACTAACTGTCTCGTGATGAGGGCCTAATATGTTAAGTATTATCTATCTCAACATGATAATTTGTCCCTGATATATAAATTTTGCAGAACTACATTATAACTTCTCTCATTTAAAATAAAGAAGATTAGGCTCCCTTCTGGCATTTCAGGGCAGTGTGTTATCTTCAGGAACAGGTGATTGTCAACAAGCAGGGAAGTGATGCAAGAGAGAGATGCTAGGTGTGTGTGACAAACCACAAGCCCGATATGGCTAGAGTATTATGTAGGAGAAGGAGAGATGTCCCAAATGTAAGTAAGAGGCAGACCCTGCACATGGCAGTGCTTTGTGAGGCATACTAAAGACAATGGATTTTCTTGTGAGTGAGATGGGAACAAATGGTAAGCTGGAGCAGAGGCATGCGCTCTGATGTGACTTGTATTTTTAAACAATCCCTCTGGCTGCTATGTGCAGAACAGACCACAGGGGTTAAGAGTGAAAATGGACATCAACTAGAAAGCTTCTAGTCGATGACTAGATGACTAGATGACTGCAGGTCAAAAATCTGATGCAGACCTGGAATAGGGTGGTAGCTGGTGAGCTAGGGAGAAGAAACAAAATTCTTGATATATTCTTGAAGTTGACCCAATGTGGACATGGGAGGTGGAAAAAAAAAAAAAAGTCTGAAAACAACTCCAAGGCTTTTGGCCTAAGCAACCAGAAAAATGGAATACTTATTATACTGCAGTGAGGCTGATAGAAGAATAGATACGGGAAATATGAATTTAGTTGTGGACAAGTCAAGTTTAAAATTGTTCTAGATATCTAGATAGGTTGTAAGGTAGGCAGCTGGACAATATCTGTAGTTAAGAGAAGAAAAAGTATGGAAAAATTAAATTTGGGAGTTACCAGTGTATAAATGAAATTTAATTAAAGTTAGAAAGTCAAGTGAAGTCCAAGGACTGAAAAATGAGACACACTTCATCATTAGAGATCAAGTTGAAGAGCAATGAACAAAGGAGGCAGGCGAGAAACAGTCAGAGGTAGCAGGAAAACCAGGGAAGTGGATCCTAGAAGGGAAGTTAACAGAAATGGTCCAAGAGAGAGTAAGAGGAGAAGAAGTGGAGGTACGGAATATAGAAAACTTTTCTATAAAGGGTAGCTGTCAAATGGAGCAGTACGGATGGGAGTTATTTCAGCATGCTTTGTATTGGTAGCAATGATGCAGTTAAAAAACAACAATAAAAAAAACTGATGATGGGGAGCAGGGGATATGCATAGGAGCTTACTTCTAAGTCATTCAGAAGATGGGATCCAGTGCACAAGAAGGTGGCATTAGATGAGACAGAGTTCCCAAGGAAGGAAAGCAGCAAATAAACATACAGATGTGGACAGGCTTATAGATTTGGCTGATGGAAGATATGTAAGTTCTCTCCTGATTGCTTCAGTAGTATCAGTGATAGCTGAAACAAAGTCATCAGCTTTGAGTAAGGAGTAGAGAGGAGGGGGAATCGGAGTTTTCAAAAGAGACAGTAATATGATGTGAAATACCTTCCCTGAAGAGAGGCAAAGTAGAAGGCAATGGAAACTCAGTAGGATTGCTGTCATACTGAGAACTCACTTAAGGTTAGTGATCATGTGTCTAAAGGGAGACCAGTAACTGTGACTCTTTTTCTCCAGCTTCCTCATCTATTTCTCATGAGTGCAGGTGCGGAGGAGCACAAAGGAGGATTTAACCAAGGTTGGAGTTTTTCCAAGTAAGTATGACAACAAGAAAAAGGCTAGGAAAGAATAAAGTGGTTAATCAT